GTGTGAGTATAGAGATTCCACTTAAACCAGCACCATAGCCAAACACCTACCACATATTCTATATATACATACTAAGATCATATGCTAACATGATAGAAAAACCATATTACCATCCCTAAAGTAGCTCCCACGCCACTTCTTTTATAGTCATCAGCCAAAGTCCAAAGACAAACTTAAGAGATTCAATGTAAGCTGAATGAGACACATAAATATTTATATGCTTCTAATGATGATTTAATTTATAAATGGATTATGTTATGCATGATCTCATATATATGTAGGTGAGTGTTTTGTTTTGGTTTAACATGTTATGGATCTAATGAGAATTGTGGACCTCTACGCATGTAGTAGGGATGTACTGAGACTAGCTTCAATACAAGTGTGTATTCACACACACATATTTAGTTATAGCTTGAAGCCAAGCTCACGGTTGTGTTTATCATCTCATTTTAGACTAGCTAGCTTAAGAGGTGCTACGACAAGAACAAGGAAGATGGTATTCACAAATCAAAGCAGCAACCAGACTGTATTAATGAGATAATGAAAATGGTCAAGTCCTTTGACAATGCTGATGAAAGTTGTAGGATAAAAGCAAAAATGGTTGACTGCCAGATGCAGGAGAATATTGCAAACCACAGAAACTAAACAAGAAAAACAAATAATATAGCAAAAAAATACTATTTCACAAAGCAAATGGAAAGAAGTTTCTAGAAGTCAATGTTCAAAATGATAGCAACCTCCAATTCTTAAAATAGATTAGGAAAATTCAATGTATCTTGGGTAGACATTAAATATGGCTGCGTCGATCAATATTGGAGTAGTTGTTTAATTCACTAGTTGAATTAAACCATTCTATGGGCAAAGAATAGAAAATTCAGGTACCATGTGACTTGGGTTGCTATCATGCATCATTCAGCATCAAATTCACCCAAAAAAACATACCAAAAATGCTAAAATTCAAATCTAGCAATAACCCATCATTTTCCAACCAACAAGAAGCTACCAAAATGTAAAACATTAGAAAAACAGATTTGAATTTGCAAAGAATACAGAAATTTCGTTCCCAAATTTGAATAGCATATCAAATAATTTCAGAGATGGATAGTTAAGAAGAAACTAGATGCTATTCCTCTATTTTTTCTACAGAATTAGCAAAAACGAAATACCCAAGAACAAAGATAAAGGTTATAGCTTTACCGGAATGAGTAGTTCAAGATCAGAGAAGAACAATAGAGGAATCGCAAGATTGCTACAGATGAAAAAAAAGGGGATAGATTTGAGTTTTATAGGTAACGAAGAAATGAAAAAGAAAAGCTGGATTTGAGACTTACTGAACGCTCGATGAAGTGAACCTCGACAGAGTGGCACCAACAACGGCAACTAACCAACGAGATCACGAGAATTGGAAGGCCAATCATGATGACAGTGAGGGAAGAAGGAAAGGACAAGAGAGAGATTTTGCTTTTAAGTCGGTAAAAAATTAATCCCATCCCACCATATCCTAAGGGGTACATCGGACAAAATTTCATTACTGTAGGTTGGGGTTGGACAAAACACGGGTTATGTTTTTTCCAATCCGTTGGCATCCCCAAACATGGGTTATGGCCGGTCAAGATTAATTTTTATCCAATTCCGCAATTAATCCAGCGTTCCAAATGGGCTGTCAGGGGATGATTAATTGATAATACTTCTGTAATTTAGACAACTTGCCTGAGGCTACAAGGTTGCTGGATATGCTTAATGAGTGTGGGTTATGTTAAGTTGAGGGAGCAAGGAAATTGAAGTTTTGGACGAGGAAGTAGCATGGTGAAAATGTGGCATTTACCGTTAACATACATAAATTCAACATTCAATGTTTAAAGGTCCAAGTACAAGAGGAATCCAGCGTTGTTCAAGAACTATTTAGAAGGAAACTATAAGGTAGGAGGAGACCATGACGAAGAATTGAAGCTGCTCGCGCGGCAAACGAGGTTATTGTATAAAAAATTTGAAGGTAAAATCATCTCAAGGCAGCCTGTCTAGTTTGATGACAAATTCAGTTACACCCTTCAATAGATGCCTTTTTGCCTTCATCAAGCTTCTCACAAATCACCTTGTTTGCCGCACACAAGTAGCTTTAAATTCAACATTACAAGCATCTGCCTCATAGTCTCCTTCTAGATACCCTCCACTACCGTCAATTAATCCATCATGGTCCTGAACAGTAATGTAGGAATATTCCGCTTGGACTTAGACCTGTCAATGTTAAGCTTGATGACCCATGCAATTGAGATAAGAAGAGCTTAACGGATATTGCTGCTTACTCAGCATCGAACGCTTAAGTGGCTTAAGAGAACAAGGCCATGCTCTCTAATTAGTGCGTTGTTCATTGTTACATCAATTCTTTTTATTAGTACTCAACTGCCTATCTTGTTTTTTATTTGTTCAATTTCATTGTGCTTCCATTGTGTGTTATTCCCAATTGTTTTATATAATCATAAAATTAATACATTTGAGTTCATGTATACTTTCAACCGTAAATATGTGTTTGCCCAAAGTAATCTTAATTGTTTCTCCCATTCAATGGTTTCTTGGTAATTAACAAAATATCATTAATGAATCCACGTAAATGCTTGATTCATTAATGACATTTTACTCTTTTTCAGTATGGTTGGTCAATTTTTTTTTTAGCCAATTTAGACTGAAAGTAACATTTCTAAACTAAAATTATGCATGGTATTGAAATAAAGAAATGAAAAATGCATTATGCTATGGTGCACAATCAATCAAGTAGGCTTGTGAAACTTGTAGGCATAAAATATCTGTGTCCATCAATAATTCCATATCTAGTGGCTTTAATCATTGAGAAAAAGAATGAAATATAGTACAGCAAGGACGAATAATGATGATTTCTACCTAAATAATCTTGTGACCCTTCAATTATAGACCAGATATTGTAAATTGATTCAAGTTTTATGATCACCCGACAAGATATATGATTGAAGATTCATGTTTTGGTTTATTGAATGGTTATTGGGAAAACATTTTATGATTAAACTAGGTCACCAAGTAAAAAAATATAGGAGACAAAGACAAGGAATCAGAGTTTCTTAATGTGTAGTAAATAGAGTAAAGCATGTGGTATATGGCATTCTTTGTACTGGGCTATTTTATGGTTCTTATACCCAACAAGCTTATTCTGTTTAGGATTCCATTATCTTCCGAGATAGAAGAGAAAACCACAGAAAAACTAAACTGTCTCCTCCTCTTGCAACCTCATTGTTGGCCTAGATTCTTGAGCTAGAACTCACCTTGGTCAAACAATTCAATACCTCTGGTTATTTAACTTATTTTGGTATTAGACAATAGTGAAATGCCAGCCTTTCTTGTTCATAAACAAATCGTAAGAAACATGATCAAATCTTGATGCAGCAGAAGATATGATACAAATGATTGAGGGAAGCAATGCAGCATATTGATTGCATGACCGGTACTATTTGTTTCTGATTTGAGGATCATTAGCCAAAAAATTAATGAAACCTAGCTATATGCCTCCCTAAATTAGGACCATAAGATTAAAGAATGAAATAGGGGCTACTGGTTGCATCCCAAATGTGTTACAAGGATGCATTGCCATCACATGCCTAGCTACTAATCTACTTCTTCATGAATTTGCATTGCTCTTATAAATATAAATACTTGTGCATCTAACCTTGCAAATTCAGTGAGTTTTCAGCTTTTTCGATCACAATGGTAGGCTCTGTAAACTTTCATATCAGGTCCATTAGCTTGCCATCCAGGTTTCAGTCTAATTGTATTGAAGCAGAACTGAAAAGGCTTCAAACGTTTGACTCATCCTCCACTTCTGACACCATACAAACTGGCTTCACAAGGTTGGCAGAGTTATATAACAGCATCGAGGAACTCATACGATCTCCTCTCACCCAACAAGCTCTTCACCGTCAGCGGCATGCAGAGCTGGTTGAAGTGGCACTTGATGGGTCAGTAGGAATGTTAGATGCTTGCACTGCTGCGAGAGACATTATTTTGACCATGAAGGAGAAAGTTGAAGACCTTCAGTCAGCCTTACGTAGGCGTGGTGGAGATTCCAGCATCGAAAACAACATCCATGCTTACATTTCCTTCAGAAAGAAGATGAAGAAGGAAATTTGAAAGAGCCTTAGAACACTAAAGGGACTGGAGAGCAATATTACAGTCTCCCCTCCTATCGTGGATGCTGATTACCATCTATTAATGGTGGTAAAGGCTCTGAGGGAGTCCAGTGCTATCACTATATCTAGTTTCTGGTCTCTGCTTTTGTTCTTTTCAATGCCTGTAATGAAAACAAAGCCTGGTGGATTGTTTTCCAAACTGATCCCTGCTGCGGCTGAGAAAGGGCAGAAATTTTTGAGTGAAGTGGGGATGACAGACATTGCTGTCTGCAATCTCCGTGGAAAAATCAGAAAAGGCGATGCCAAGATTGATGTGCAAATGGAGCTGAGCAGATTGGAGACAATTTATGATAAGATGAGAGGTCTTGAATCAGGCTTAGATTGCCTATTCAGGAGCCTGATTAGACATAGGGTGTCTCTCCTTAACATTCTTGCACCATAATTGATTTACATTTAATAGGTGATGACATCCTCATTTTAGAGGAGACAAGTAGTGGCATTGTACATCCACAAAATTTTGAGAGAGAATTATATAAGAATGATCTCTAAATTTTTATGTATCCACTAAAAATGCAAATTAAAGTTTGCAAGTTTAAAATCGCTTCTTTCTATGGGGAAAGTTTTTCTTAATCTGGACCTCAACCAATCTATAGGAGAAACTGGATAGTGTTTGATAGTTCGGGCTAGCTTCCATTCGTGTTAAAATGTGCTTGATTTACCGTAAGGTATTACTGTTGGGAGGCCATAAGTCACTGCTATTTTGATAATCAAAATTAAAAAGGTTATTGGACACAATTATCACCTATGAATAGATAATTACAAAAATGATAAATGTATGATTTTTTTGAATAAAATAATTTTTACTTTTTACAATATAATAGATTATTTTATAATTAACATATATATTCGTTCATATAATATCATATTATATGCACCTGGACCTCACAGTCCAATGGTCATAGGTCGGTTTGTAAGGTGCATTCCTCAATTCTCGGGTTGGGGTTCAATTCCTCCACCTCAAAATTGTACCTTTGTTAAAAAAAGAAACAATCATATTATATTATATAAAATAATGTATTAAAAAATTATACTAAAAAACATTATATTTGTAGCATTAATTGATAACTTGCTAGAGGCATTTACTATTGTTACATCAGTAATAATATAATTATAATATTATATAAAATTATAAGTACATAATTATTATATATTATTAAATAAATTAATTAATATATACAATATCATGGTAGATTACAGATAAAAAAAAGTTAAACATAAAATGACATATTATTATTGTAAATTTATAAGAGTTTGTCTAATCTATACTTTAGGGACACAAATTAAAATTCATTATTTAAGGTATTTTTAATTAACTTTATGCAAATTTTTATATTAAATTTATATATTTTTTTATAGATTTTAAATATAAATATTATATTATATTTTTACATTTTATCTTTTATTTTATTTGAATCTTATATAAAATTTTGTATAATATTAATTATAAATAATATAATTAATAAAACTTAACATGCATTTTAAAATCACAAATCAAAAAATTCCAACATATAATACTATACAATATTATAATTATATCACTTTTACTTTGTTATTGATTTGGCATTCCCTGCGAATAGACGTGTGTGTTAATTGATTGGCACGGAACAATTTTATAATTTTTTTTCTTCGTTTTACATCGTTATTTCAAACACCTCTTGAAATAATTAAAGTATCGCTTGCTTGTGCAATAGAAATGGATCAGCATATAAAACTAAAGCTAGATTAATTTCTTAATGATTCCCATTAACTAAACAAAACCTAGCTTTATGCAATATTGCAAATACTGAAAAACAATGCCATCAACCCCTACCCATATTATATATTCCCTAACAATCATTGAGGATACAATGACAAATCACTGAATTTGTACCCACATGCAACTCTGAATATGAATAACCATGTATAATGCCCAAGGGACTATCTTAATTGAGTGACCATGCATCTGATTGGTTCTCAGTCCCCCCGACCAGAGCCGTGCCTCAAGCCTCTTCGGTAATTTCAGTTTCTTTTTCAGGTCACATGTTCTGTAAAATGCCTCCTTGTCCCCTAAGGACACCAACGGTACTGGCACCACCATTTCCCCTGTCCTCAAATTACCATTATCTCCCTCCATATAACCAGTTGGAGCAAACATTGCTTAGACTCCTGCTCTAATGCTTGATTGTTTGAGCTAAAAAATTTGTTTAGTCCATCTTATTCATCGGTTCCATGAAGAAAGACATGAATTGGCAACAATAATTTTTGTTGGAAATTGGTAATAAATTTTAGTTTGGGAATCAAAATGATTTTTTGGTGATGATTAGGGAGGCAAAGAGGCATACACCAGTTTATGTTGTGTTTGCTGTTCAGAAATCAGGATTCTGCCCTGCAAACGTTGCCCATGCTGTGGCCATAAGATATTAAAGAAAGAATTGGATGGTTAGGCCACCACCCAAAGCCATCACATGTGAAATAAATAAGGCTGTAACGCTGAAGGCCAATGATTCATGCATTATGTTCATAAAAATACTTGCTCAATCATTTCCATTGAAGCACTCAAAGAAGCCCAATTAGCATTTTGTTTGAAGGAAAATGGCATCTTCTTCATCTACATTGCCTCCTTTTAGATCTATTAGCTTGCCCTCCAGGGTTCATCCCACTTCTCTTAAACTCGAAGGCGTTTTAGACCACCTAAAATCCAGGCAGATTTCCTGAGCATCAGCTGAGACTCTTCAGCATGGCCTGGTTGGCCTTGTAGAGATGTACAATTGCCTGCCCGACTTCATTCAGTCTTCACAAATCCGGCGAGCTCTCCTTCAATATCAAAACGGGAAGTTAGTAGAGGAGGCACTAAATGAGTCTGTCACAATACTAGACATATGTGATGCTGCTAGGGATATGCCCTGGTGTCCATGAAGGAGCACATGCAAAGCCTTCAATCTGCTCTACGTAGAAGACGAAAATCAAGTATTGAAGCTGAAGTTGCTGCTTATCTCAAACACAGGAAGAAGGTGAAGAAGGAAATTGCCATTCACCTTGAAACAATCAAGAAACTCGAAAGCAAATTTGGTTCTTGTTTGAGTACTACTTTAGATGCATCCGATCAAGATCTGTCAAATGTGGCTAGAGTACTAAGAGAAGCAAGCTCCATCACCATTTCTGTAATTAGATCTATTCTTCTGTTCCTGTCAATGCCTGGTGGGAAGACTGGAGCTGGCCGATTTTCATTAATATCGAAGTTGAAACCATTGAGATCACTGTCATCTGAAAAAGGACAGAAAATTGTTAATGAGATTGGAAGTGAGGATCTTGGTCTTTGCTCTCTCTCCGGCATAAACCTACCTTTGGCCCTTTATCTTAATAAATTTATAGATTTTAACCCCTCACCTTATACTATGACACTTATAACCCCTCACCTATAAGAATTAAAGAAAATAACCCTTATTTAATGTCCTCTTAATGGACTGTTTGTTTTGTTAACTAATTATTAATTCTGTTAGTTGACTGTTAACATTTCGTTATAAAAAATATAAAATTTAAATTCAATTTTATTTGTTAATTCTATTAACGAAATGCTAACAGTCAGTTAATAGAATTAATAATCAGTTAACAATCAGTTAACAGAATTAACAATTAATTAACAAAACTAACAAAATGTTATAAATTGACCTTAAGAAAGGGCTACTTTCTTCAATTCGTATAGATAAAGGGTTAAAAATGTGATAATATAAGGTGAGGGGTTAAAATCTATAAATGTATTAAGATAAAGGGCTTAAAGTAATGGACACTTGAAGACCAGTGATCCAAGGTTGAATTGCAGATGGTGCAAAGGATGCTAGAGACTCTTGGTGTTAGAATTGAAGCCCTTAAAACTAAATTAGATTGCATTTCAAGTGCCTACTCCAAAATAGAGTTACTTTACTTAACATCATAACCAACTAAATAAAAATATATTTGTATCGAAAACAGATGATCATACAAACCGTAAATAGAATTCATTCAGTTATTATTAATAAATTTATAATTCTCTATCTACATTCATGTTAACATATCATTCTTATCTATACACTTTAAAACATGATAATAACACCACTGCAATAAGGATTAAAACACAAAAAATAAAAAATGCAATAATACGGGTTGAGGTTATTTTTATGGAATTTTCTCAGGTTAAGCCTTATTTAATGCAGTATCTACAATTAATTTGATACAAATTTTTATATCAGATTCAATTAAAATAAAATATAAAATGTAAAAATAAAATAAAATAAAATATTTATACTTGAAATATGTAAAAAAGTATGAATCTGATATAAAATTTTGTATATATTTTTATAATTCAAGGCATAAGTTAGACAAATCTTATTTTTATAGATTGCTTTAATTATTGAGTTTTTAAGTATATTCATTAACTTTTTATTTAAGAGTTCATGACTAAGTAAATATATTAAATAATCCCACCCACAAATGTGGGCTCTGAAACTAGTCCTGAGCCCAATCCAAGAACGTGGGCTGTAACTTATTTTATTTCAGCAGATCCCGGATGCATCGGATTCTCCTCAACGGCCCAATCCGTGCCCTTTTTTTTCCCACGTGTCAAATCTCCCAACGGCTAATTTGTCCCCAGCTGTATCAGGCCGGAAGTCGGTGTCTTTGTGGGGCTCCGAATCCTGGAAAAGAAAAGGAATTCACTTTCCTATTCTAGTTGACCGTTACGCTCCCCAAAAAGCTCTCCTTTTTACTTCCTCTTAAGGCTCCGACTCTCTCCGCTTCCCCCCGCCATGACTGCGTCTGCAGCAACCTCCACCACCGCCCGTTACTGGACGCTCATGAAACTCACCGTATCCCTTTTCCGCAGAGGCTTCAACTCCTCCAAATGGTACACTTCTCTTTCCTCGTATTTTTTTCTAGGGAACTCAGATGGATTTCTTCTCTTGAAATGGAATGTACTTTCATGGTTGATTGATTTCTAATTTGTATGCATTTTTTTATTGCATTTTCGCGGCGGCTAATCAGGGTTATGGGTTTGAAGTTGTTTCGTTTGTTTCTATTTCTGGGTTTTTTTTTTTAACTTTTTTTTTTTCCTTTCCCCTTTGGTGAATCGTAGCAAAACAGCAGCGAAGATGGCCGTGGCAAGAATAAAGCTACTGAGGAACAAGAGAGAGGTGGTGGTAAAGCAAATGAGGCGTGACATTGCCTTGCTTCTGCGGTCTGGTCAAGACGCCACTGCTCGTATCCGGGTATATATAGTATCTAAATATATTGCCCCATGGCCCTTTAGTATTGAGATGAAACGGAAGTACTTTTCTATGTAATCCGATTGCTGCATTTCTTAGGTTATCTGGTTGGATGAAAAATGGTTTGGTAGCATTTCCAAGATCACATAATTACATTAACATTAACATGGTTAATGTATAGAACACTGTTTTACTCTTGCCCCTAGCACCTTTTAGCTGTTTTCATGAACTTTTCTTAGTTGTTTGTGTTGTTCTTTCCTACGCGTTTGTAAATGATAAAAAATTCCTAACATCGATTTATTCTGATATTTGTAGGTTGAACATGTTATAAGAGAACAAAATATTTTAGCTGCAAATGAGTTCATTGAGCTTTTCTGCGAATTAGTTGTGTCCAGGCTTTCCATCATTGCTAAGCAAAGGTCAGAAACTTAAGGTTCTTTTTCACATCCAAAAGTTAATGCATTTTTTTTTTTTTCCATTTTTCTTAAACCCTTCTGAGTTCTGAAGCTAACACATGTTGTTTCCAATTGTATATTGTCCTATGTATTCAAGGGAATGCCCTGCAGATCTGAAAGAGGGGATTGCTAGTTTGATTTTTGCAGCCCCGAGGTGTGCAGAAGTTCCAGAACTAGTCTCAATTAGAAATATTTTTGAAAAGAAATACGGGAAAGATTTTGTGTCTGCCGCTACTGACCTGCGGCCTAACGGCGGTGTTAATCGTCTGGTAAGTATTGCCTTCTGATCACTGCAGTTATTGCTGTGTCACAATTTCACTTTGTTTGATAATAATTTAATGTCAATGATGATATTCATCTGCTAGTAAGCATTTTGAATGTTGTGTGTCCTGTAGTGAAATGTATTCTTTTGGAAGACTAATACTGCTTTCATTTTGATATAGCTTATTGACAAGCTCTCAGTTAAAACACCCAGTGGTGAAGTAAAGCTGAAAGTGATGAAGGAAATAGCAAAGGAGCACCAGATAGAATGGGATACCACTGAATCAGAGAAGGAGCTTCTAAAGCCTCCAGAAGAGCTTATAGTTTGTTTCTCTCCTCCTCTCTCTTAAATGTGCACACACTTACTCACTCATGCACAAATTTTAGCTCAATTACAATCTAAATTTATTTATTATCTCATCAATCAGGGGGGACCACGTGCTTTTGTTAGTGCTTCCAGCTTACCTGTAAAACCTGCTGATCATGCACCCAATCATTCTATTGACCCAAGGAACAGGTAAGATTGACTATGTCAAATTCATGCACTTAAAGAAAAGATTAGATTGGTAGATTTGTCCTGAACATTGACTTCCGATTCTTACCAGGTCAAGAGGTTGTGGAAATGGTGACTTCATGCATTTTGAAGACACCGCATCAGCTGCTGAAGCAGCTGCTGAATCAGCAAAAAGGGCAATTGCTGCTGCGCAAGCTGCTGCCTATCTGGCAAACAAGGATATCAACCAATTGACTCAAGCATCTGCTTATGGTAAAAATCTCAATGCTTCAAGCAACGATCATGGATTAAAAACCTTCCCCGGAAACCCTGCTGGCGAGTTCCTACCAACTGATCCGTCAGTCAACTCTCAGTATATGGAATCTAAAGCCTATGGGAGGAGGATATATGACTCCCACAGATTTGATAGGTCTCATCAATCAACTGATGAAGAAATGAGGCCTAACAGTGGAGAAGACCGAAATGCCACTAGGAGACACAGCTACAATGCCCCTTCCGTGCATTCAGATATTAAGTTTGATGAGTCGGATTGCGATGAGGAAATGGAAGTTGAAGAAGATGCTCCACGTCGCTTTACTCTTCCTCCCGAGCGATCTCCACCTCCACCACCATTTCCTTTCTCTCAAGGGAAGCAGGAGCCCATTCATCGTGTTCATCCCAAATTGCCTGATTATGATGACCTTGCAGCACGCTTTGAAGCTCTCAAGCACCATAAATCAAGAACCTAAAACTATCAGATACCCTCATGAACTGGTCTTTATGCCTATATACTTGGTACTAGAAATATAAAGGATGTTATGCTATGGTTATATATCTACTTGAAATGTCCATTTTGCATGTTATTACTTGATTTGTTTTGTACACCTTGTGGAGAACTATCTCCATTTTTCTCATAGACTTGATGTTATATGATGACAGAAACCTTCTAGTTCCTACCTTTATGCCTATGCTTACAAGCATCCATATCCCAAGTCTAGATGCCTATGAAAATTTGGTTAGCTTTGATGTTTATGCATTAAATTCCCTTTGGAATCTTCGTCCGCAATTCAACTACTAATAAGCTACAATGTTCAAGCAAGCACATAAGAAAGGTACAAGGGCCGGAAGTTTGGTGCAAAGTGCTGAAAACTTCAAGCACAAAAATGAGTGAAGGAAAAGAGATCAATTCAGCCACAATGACCCCAAATAAGGATATTTTATCACCAGGGTTGCCAGTATCTTGCCCACCTTCCCAGTTCCATTCACCATCTTTTTCAAGATCACCTCTTCTTTATGCAGAAAATGCAGAGACTCCCAAAAGCAAAAGCCCGGGAACCTCAAGAATATCTTTGACTCCAAAACTTTTAAGTCCGTTGGCTACCCCTCTGAGAAAGGCTCTTCGCCTCACAAAGTTTGATCCCCAGGACGCATGGCTTCTCATCACTGAATCAAGAAACGGTAATAAATAGTTAAATACCATGCAGCTTTCCACACCCTCTGTTCTGGAATTGGAATTCAAGCTCTTATCCTTCCAATCGCCTTCACTTACCTCGGCTGGTAATAAATCAATCAAACATCCAAGCTCTTGTTCTTAAATTTCCTTCATTTTTTGTCCATTTCCAAAAAAAAAAAAAAAAAAAAATTCCTCCATTTTTTCTACTTCAAAACCAGGGTCCTTATTTCTTATTTCATGAATGTGGTTGCAGGGCATGGGGATTAATCAGCTTGACTATAACATTCATGTGGCAACTTTATACCTTATGGATACTCATTCAACTTCATGAATCAACAGAAACTGGGAAGCGTTACAGCAGATACCTCCAACTCTCCCTTGTTGCCTTCGGTACACTTCTTACATAAATCACATGACATGACATGGATGTCAGACATCTTAGATGTTTGCAAACTGCAACGTGACATGACACTATATGTTCATGATTTCATGTTCCAGGGGACAGATTAGGGAAGTTGCTGGCTTTATTTCGGATCTTTTACCTATCAGCTGGCACATGTGTTGCTCTGATCATCGTCGGTGGATCGACGTTAAAAGTCTTCATTCAGATAGTATGCAACTCCACCTGCTCGGCAAAGCCACTGACCACAGTAGAATGGTACCTGGTGTTTACATGTGCAGCCGTGGTGCTGTCACAGCTGCCAAATCTGAATTCAATAGCAGGGGTGTCATTGGTGGGAGCCATCACTGCTGTGGGGTATTGCACGTTGATCTGGGCGGTATCTGTGGTGGCCGGAAGGCTTCCGGCAGTGTCCTACGATCCTGTGACAGATAACACTGAGATTAAAAGGATCAGTGATGTGCTTAACGCACTTGGGATTATTGCTTTCGCCTTTAGAGGTCACAATCTCACCCTGGAAATTCAGGTAATTACAAAAGCTAATACTCAACAGTGAATGCCAAAGATCCCCCAAAAAAAATGTAAATTAATGGCAAGATATTTGCATTAATAGCGAGGACCGAAATTTCGGCTTAGACAGAGGGTGTGTCTGTTTGGTATGGCTAATCAAGTATAGTCAATAGTAGAACCGGACTTTGTGGCCCAATGGCTCGATCCCAAGCCTTAAGTGTTTGAGTGAGGTGGTCGAAACTTTGAACTCCACCACTGTCGTGAACTCCACTAAAAAGTGGCTTAATAGCCGCGCACCTCATTTGAAGGGGTGGAATGTTCACCTAATCTGAGGATCAGTTGCTAACAATTAACTCACTAACTTCTTAATCATTACCCTTGTAAAAAAAAAAAAAGTATAATGAATAGTAGATAATAGATAAGATAGTGTTATAGAGACAATTTTTTTATATCATCTTTTAATATAATTTTTACATATCATTAAATAAGTGTATACATTCAATATCATAAGTCCAAAATGAATAAAAAAAACTAATCATTTCAATAACATATAAAGTTGTATCAAAATGTGATAAAAAAGATTGTGTCAAAATTATTTTTGTAATAGATATTCAACAGCTAATAATAATTATTATTTATAATTTAAATATTTTTATTCATCTAATTAGTTTAAACTATAAACTATTAATTTCACCCATAAGTGGGTGGATAAGTTGATACGGGACTCTTCCAGTTTAATCAGAGGTCTTGGTTTTAAGTTCTAAAAATGCAGTTTCGTTAAAACTCATGAGAGAGAGTTTTGCTGCCCATTGAGTCCTGTCCGACTCGAATCCAGATTAGTTAATGGTCCAGTGGACTTCCAGATTTCGGATGATTTATACCAAAAAAAAAAATAAATAAACCTTTAATTTCAAACTTCTATCCCAAATACACCCTTAAGAATATAGGTTAATTAAGTACAGGGACAAGTAGTTTTAATTATTAAAACCTTGATTAGGAGTTTTACGGTTAAACCCTACTGGCTACTACCCTGCAAATGTTAATAGTTATTAATGTATGTTGCTTTGTATGAAATCCTTCACTTACCCTAATGATATGGCATGTTAAGTTTGGCACGGAACCTAGATAGGGGTCACAAGCCTATGCCACTTTTATTTTACCCAACAGAAAATTTCCTAATTGGGTAGTTGTTTACCTAACAAATTAGTTGT